GGTACATCCACAGGTTATAACATTGTGCTGACGAATCCGGGGATTTTCCCGGCCGTGAAAATTAGAGTAGCCTACTCCTCACGATGGATCCCAGAAGGGGCTCTACAGTCCAATGGCTCCAGCTTGTCGCCAAAGCTCGACAGAGTTGCTAATGGCTCTCTTGATGTCCATGTGTGCTGGTAGCTTGTCTCTGAAGGTGCAGCTGGCACTCCATATTGCCCAACAAGTTAGGAGGATGATGTTTTTTGCCCCCTTTCTGAAAGCTGCCGGTGCCGCTTCAACCATCGTCTGTATAATCTGAACCGAAGTCGAGGTCTTCCATGAGTCACTTGGAATGAGGCTTGAGCAGTTTCCTTGGCTTCCCACCGAGCTCCAGACAGCCAAAGCGGTGGGGCAGCACCAGAACAAGTGGTGCACCGATTCCAAACTTCGGACACAGAGTTGGCAGAAGTAGCTGTTGGGCCAACCGCGTCGTTGGAGGCGATCATTTGTCTAGAGGCGATCCTTGAGCAGCAACCAAGTGAAGAACTTGATGTTTCCCGGTGCCCATGTCTTCCATACAAGGTCGCCCGTGTCGGATCGGAGCTAGCCCTGAAACTGCATTGCATAGGCCGACCGTGCTGTGTACTGGCCCTTTGCTTCCTGATTCCACCGGATGGTGTCTCGGGTGCCTTCGCTGAATACTGTGGCAGCAGCAATGATCTGACGGTTGAGCCGAATGAACTCTGGCAGCAACGAGTGCATGTCTCCGTGCCTCAAATCTTTAATCCAATTGTCGTCCCTGATCGCTTCTCGCACGGCCCGTCTCTTTCGCTTGGGGTGGTTGTAGAGGCCTGCGTAAGCTGCTGCAAGGGTGCAAGGACCGATCCATCGGGACTGCCAGGACAAAGCCGTCGAGCCGTCCCCGATTGTCACTGTGGTTGTAGCTGCGAAGAGGGCTATGTCCTGATCGCAGCAAGGCGACACAGTGCCCACCCACAGGCGGCCAGGGTCTGTCCAAGCAATCCAGAGCCATCTCAGTCTCAGAGCCCGACTGAAACGCTCGAAATCAAGAATGCCCAAGCCTCCATGGATGGTTGGTCTTTGTGACCGAGCTACCTGTAGGCCGGAATCAGCCCCGTCAGTGCTCATCACGATCGGTGCCAAGCGTGCATGACGCTCCCGTATATTAACTGTATTCATAGAAAAGTCCGCTGTACAGCGGCCATATTTGCTTTTTGATATTCTGTGCGGGCTCACGTACACCAGCAGGCACCGGAGTGCGGCACAGCTCCACGTCACCGTCAAGCGTGCATCACTCCAGTTTCATGTACGCGGCACGGGAGTTGACTCCGTCAACATGTGCCATGCCAGGGTGACTGTTTCGAGTCCAGCAAGAGCCTTTTGAGTTGTTGACGACCACACCCTCTGCCTCTCGTACAGCTGCAGCGGTCGTATCTTGAGGAGCCATGTCGTTTGAGTCACCAACGACCTCGCTCTCAGCCTCTCACCATTGCGGTACGAGGCAACATTAATTGGCTTCCACCGATCGGAATTGAGTAAATAGCATAAAACTATTATTTTACAGGTTAGGATTTTAAAAAACTATCGGTTTCAAATTTTTCGCTGATAACTACCAACTCAGGGGTTGGCTGTTTTAAAAAACCCAAATCGTCGAGCCTTTATCAGTTGATACCGATTATGACAGGTCGGGCCCGCATGTAAACACACCGTTAGTTTGACCGTTAACTTACATGTGGGGCCCACTTGTAAGTTTCCTCTTCCTCTTCTCTTTCTTCTTCCTCTCCATCTCTTCTCTTTCCTCCCCTTGTGTCTCCCGTCCCGACCATCTCCCCTCTTGAGCCGGCGACCTCCCTCCCCTCCAGAGCCGGCGACCCCCCTCCCTTCCCAGGCCGGCGACCCTCTCCCTCGAGCTGGCGACCCTCCCCCATCCCCCCCGAG